AATCCATGAGGGCCTGACCACTGGAAGCCCTGCTGCTTTTCTGGGTCTAGCCACCCTATGGCACTGCCACCACTCAGGCTTGTGCTGGGAAGAGCTTGCAAGGCATCCAGAGAGGCAAAGGCACAAGGGTTAAATTCTAAGGAGTGTTGGTCACTGACGTCTCTGGAGGATTCTGTAAGGAAGATGTCTGATGCCTCAGACTACAGAAGAGTCTGTGAGATGTGGGGTGACATGGACTTGTGTTCTTAACTCCTGAGGAGAGATGGTGATGTTAGGTAGAACTTGGTCGAGCTGAGCAGTCCTTTGCGTTCCCAGTGGCAGGTGCGGGCACCAGTTCTGAAGGGGCTGGCAAGAGTATCTGTCATGTAGACTCTGTAGGGTTTCCTTGGTTCTATGTGTCCTTAGTGTGGTGGCTTCTCAATTGCCAGCTGTGGCAGTGCTGAGCTGGGTACACGCACTGCTCAAGGCCTCCTGAGTGGCTTAGAGAGTGGTGTTAGCTGAGCACTGGGAACAGACCTTTCTGAGTGCTGTGCTATTGTGACAGATGTTGTAATGGGCCGTGTCAGGTGACCTCTGGCCAGGAGGTGGCACTTGCCACAGAGAGCCAGCTACAGTGGTGGCTGGGGGCTTTCTACTTGGCCTGTGTTGCCCCAAGGAAGTACAGATGACTTAGGTGATTGGGCAGGGGTATGGGGGCCCCCAAAGACCCTTGTCCATACTGAGCACTGGGCAGGGGTGTGGGGGAAAAGCCAGCTGTGGCGGCTAGGTCAGACCGGTCCAGCCTCAGCTCCCCACCTCTGCAAGCCATTAGCTACTCTAGTGGGAATGGGGTCTCCCCCACTGTAGCAATGCTGCAGGATGGCAGAGCCACCTCCGCTGCGTGAAAGAGTTCCCAGGGGAGAGAGGGCTTGCCAGTGCCACGAGCTCCAACCAGCTCCTTTGACCCAGGTAGTCTGCACTCAGAACTCAAATGCACAACCAGCACTGAGTCAGTCCTCTTGCAGCCTCCAGGCATCAGGCCTCCCATTCCTCCCCAGCTTGGGAGCTGGCTGTGAACACAGCCTGCAGGGATTGCGTGCTCTGAGAGGGCACAGCCAGAGCGGTTCAGGGCTTGAAAGCACACGGGTTCTGGCCGCGAGCAGTTGTGCGGCATCCAGTCCGTTCCCATATGGGACTGGTGTCCCATGAAGCTCGGGGGACCTTCCAAGCCAAGGCGTGATCACGGAGTTCCCATTTACCCTTTCAAGCCCGAGTCTGGAGGCCGCTTGCTCTTCCTGCTTGAGACCCAGCCGAGAAGTCTGCCTGGTTCCAACACAGGCTGCCTGATTTCTCTCCTTGTTGTCTATGGGTCCTACCTCTTCTCCATAGGGTCATGAGGTGAGCTCTAAGTCTTGTCCTTCTCTGAGAGCTGAGGGTGTCTGTTTTTGTTTACTCCAGGAGAGAGGCACAAGCCAACTGCTTCCAGTTGTCCATTTTGACCACTCCCCTATATCTATCTATCTATCTGTCTATCTATCTACCTACCTATCCTGTCATCTATATCTATATCTATCTATCTATATGTCAGAGCCATCATCGTATTACCCTTGATATTCCAAATGTCATCAACCTTTGGGGTTTCATTTTCCATGGGGGATATCAATGTATGCATGTATGTATGTGTCAAGTATCTATTTATCATCTAGCTATCTAGCTATCATCTACTTATATGTTTTCCAGAGATTGGGCAGAGAATATGCCTTCACTCTTGCTTGGTGTAGTAGGTGACATTTTCCTAGTTTATTTTTAGCACTGGTAAGCGTGTCCTGCGAAGCTTCTAGATTCATGCAGGGATACGAATTCCAGCTTCCCAAGCGGTCAAGGACAAAGTTCAGTGCACAGGAACACTGAAACACCTGAGATCTAGGTCTCAGTCCAACATATCCTTGGACTGCTGGAATGTCTGAAGTGTCACTTGCAGTTTAAGGGAAACTTTAATTTTCCTTTTCATTTTCAACAACTCAAAGAATATGCCTTTCTTTCTTTCTTCCACTGTTACTTTCTTTCCTTTATCCTTCCTTCTTTTCTTTATAAGATAGATCATATATCTAAATTTCTACCTTGGGATGTTTTTCTCACCATTTCACTGTTTTTCTAGCTGGAGATTGGGTACCTCTTCCTCATATCAGGTCGCTATTTGTGGAAAAGTCTTCACATTTCAATTAGGAAATGGCCTCACATAAGTGAACATAAATCAAGATAAAGAGGTTAAGAAAGAGGAAGAGAAAGTATACCCAAGAAACAATGAGAAGGAATGAAACTGGTGTAATGTATTTACTCTAAATAATTGTTGATATTATAGCTGTGAATTTTAATAGAGTTATAAAAAATGCAGAGTGACAATGATTCCTAAAATCAAGTATAAAGGGTATAAAACAACGATGACATCAAATTAATAAAAACCTTGAATATATTCCAGGTGATTTAAAAGAAAGGTTTGAATTTTTGCTCTATTATTTATATATATTTTTTGAGTTGGAGTCTCACTCAGTAGCCCAGACTGGAGTGCAGTGGCCGCTCCCAGTCACCGCAGCCTCGACCTGCTGGGCTCCAGCGATCCTTCCGCCTCAGCCTTCCAAGGAGCTGGAACTACAGGCGCGCGCTACCACGCCTGGCTAGTTTTTGATTTATTGTAGAGATGAGGTCTCGCTGCCCAGGCAGGTCTCGAACCCGCGGGCTCAGGCAATCCACTCACCTCAGCCTCCCAAAGGCGCGGGATGACAGGCTGAGCCACCGAGCCCGGCATGAATTTTTGCTCTATTATTAATACGAAATGTGAACAATATTTGTGACTCCCCCCATGAGACTTTTAGAACACCTTTATTGACATGGGTACGCCAATTTTCAATGCAAAAGACTTGGAATACTTTGCTATTGGTTATTTTTTTAAATTGAAATATAATTTCCAGGGAGACAAATATATGCATGTCATAGTATCATGACTTTAACTGTTACTGTTGTTGTTTAAATTATCTCCTTTACTCCCAAATGTCTTTCAGCTTGTGATTATTGACATCTGTGGATTGGGAGCCATGTCAAATATTTGAGATTTCTCAATTCATGGACTTTGGTTTCCTGTTTGGCCATTTACTGTGGCAGGTCAAGAAAAGGTTGCAATTTCTTTACAGAGAGATAGACTATGCAATGGGAATTGAATACATTTATGTTTTGTCTAGTCTTCATGCACACACATTCAATTGAATCCTTTAATATATTTTGTAGTCCTTGGGAATCCGCCTACTTTTATTTTGTTTACACATCTTACAAAATTCTGCTTTTATTATGAAGAGAGTGGGAAAAAGAAATTTGTTAATCATTTTTCATTTATCCATCCTAGGAGTTTCCCAGGGTAGACTATGGATTGCTTAGATTTATTAGGCAGAAATAAAATAAAATAATGAAATTTAGCCCCAGGATATTCCGTCCACTTAGTCTGAATTAGTCAAATATGTACTTGGCTGTTGTGTTTAGTCATGAAACACAGTAGTCGTGAAAACAAGGAGATGCAGATTTCACAGACACTTCGCTGCTTTGTTTTGTTAGTTACTGCTTTGACTCTCTTCTTGCTCTTTTCTACATCTTGGAATCATCATTTCTAACCAAACTGTTTTGTTTTCCTTGCTTACCATTGTCTCCCATATCCCTGTAGTTGAAAGACCACGTGAATAGACACAGAGTTTTATTTCCAACCAACCACGAAGCAGTCCTTTCTCTTCAGAATAATTGGTTTAGGGGAAAAGGGACACAGGAAACAAAACAAGTTCAGCGTGTGCAGTTGGTCTGACTCCACCGTTTTTCAGAAACCAGCCTGACCAAGAGCTGCTGGGAGTTGGCACCTGTTTAAAGAATAAATGAAGAAGCAACAATAACGTTTTGATCATTGCCGCAGACAAAAAGAGAACGTGTCTTGACAGTGTTTTTAGAGTTCTTTTTCTTGTTTCTCTGATGGTAAGTAGAACTCTGTTTTTGTGTGTGTGTTGTGCCAACTATGTGGGTGGATATTGCTAAAATCAATCTATTTTTCAGGTGTTTCCAAGTCCCTATGTGTTTTATGTTAAAGACCGAATGACTAAATTTTTCTTTTTTCCCCCAACCCACTGTTATTGTGTAGATTATAGCAGGGGATTTCTTTTAAAAATTAGAAAAATGTGTTCTGTTGTAGCTGAGAGATAATTTTCTGAGTATGTTGATATGTAAATCTGAAGGAATTTAATTCTGAGATTATAAAAACTAAATAAAATTGTTTCTGTATTTGCAAACATTCGGGCAGAATTACTTTCCCACATGATTTCATTCTTTTTTTCAAACTTTTTTTTTTTTTTTTTGGTTTATTTATGGATTTCTGAATTCAGAAAATGGAAAGGAATCACTTTATTCTTCTTGTGTGTCAGAATCCAGTTTCAAGTCTTTTGAGCCTGGGCTATGATTCCACAGCCTACCTCTTTTGATAAGTTATTTGATTCAATTTGAAGGTTAAAAACTGCAAGAAAATATTTCATTGATGCTGCATCTAATGGACATAATTCGTTATTCAGATAAATTTAAGTAATCAGACTTTTGATGTTAATTTGATTAGTTCTGGGATTTCTGTTTAAATACAAAGAACAGGGAAAAGCTATTAATAGGATATCATTAATTAAATTACTCTGTACATGTACTTAAAGTTCTGTTATAAAAGGGCCAAAAATGTGAAGTTATCTTTTAGATTCAGAATTCTAATTATAGCTTTTCCGCTGTAGCTCCCTAAGTTATTGCAAAATTGTGATAATAACCTCTCTGCCTCCCGACTATCTCCCACTCCCCCAAATAGCTTAAAATGGAAATATTTGAGGTGAAATTTTGCAGTCAAGTATTACTGAAATAATATTTAAAATCCACTTTAATGGTTCTTAAATGCAGGAGATATTTTACTTAAAAAATGTGATCAAGGTTTTTTTATTACTTTTTTTCTTGATTTTTCTTGATTCATTTTCTGTTTAATGATCAGACTAAATGAATATGAAACAGAAAAGTGTGTGTCAGCAAACTCAAGCACTTCTGTGCAAGAATTTTCTGAAGATGTGGAGGATGAAAGGAGAAAGTGCACTGGTATGTTCAAAAGTTCACCTCTTTCCAGAGTGAGCACCTTTACAGTGTTTCATAACCTAATAATTCTGCAGTATTTTACTTATCAGACTAGAATTATTGATTTTAAGTTTGTCTCTAGTTCCATGTGTTGAATCCAGAGACTCAAACAGTCCCTGAAGAATAATACAAAATTGTAATGACTAAAAGTATTACTCAGAACAAAAAGAGAGCGAGGGATTAAGTGAAAATTTAATTACATACTAAACTATAGCAACAAAAGCTGCTGCCATAAGTTACACATTTAGAGCCAAGAAACAAGAATGTTGCCTAGAAGAAATTGAGAAATTTTAATGTTGTGGATTTATCTTCAAAGTTATGAATTTTCTTTTCTTTTCTTTTCTTTTCCTTTTTTTAAGTGAGAAAGCAGGATTTTTTGAGAGGACAGAAAAGCTCTCACAGTGGGAGGCGACCCGAAGAGGTTGCCCCAAAGCTATGAATTTTCAACACAAAGATTATTTCCAAGAGCTATGACCAAGTAACACCACTGATAGTTTGTGCTAGATAGATGGGCTAACTATAGGTGAGTAGCCCAAACCTCGGCAGCTTCACATAACAAAGGTTTATTTCTCACTCTTTACAGTCTAAAGAAATAAAGTGAGTTGGGTGGATGAAGGAGTCTCTACCCAGTCATTTAGGGAGCAAGGTGTCTTCATCTAGGGTCTCTGTCATCTCCCTAGGCCTTCAAGGTTCTCTACATTCAGTTAGAAGATCAGAAAAGAGAGGGACCACGCCAGAGAGAATACAGAAAGTTGTACAAGGGTCCATGAGCCTGCTCTGGAAGTGGCACATATCACTTCTGCCCATATCTCATTGGCTAGAGCTTAATAGCTTGGTGTAATTTCAGAAGGTTGGGAATGTAGTCTGACACCGTGCCAGAGAGGGAGAAATGGTTGAAATTGTGGACTCGCAATAGTGGTGGTGTCTACCCCTGAGTTTCTCTTCATTTTCTTCAGTGTCTAATACAAAGGTATGACAACTGACAGCAATATTGCTGTTTGCCACCGTGAACTCTCTCTGGGATACTCCGTGTCTCATAAACTCTGCAGTCGATTGCCCACACATACAGAGATTGGTGTCCTGTTGTTTGCCCTGTTGGTTTCTATGATGACTCCTGTAGTCGTTCATGATTGAATGCAAGCGTTTTGTTCTAGTATTAGAGAATGATAAATGTAGCTAGTCTCCGTTCTTAATCTTTCGTTGTGTTTTCCTTGTACTGAGGAGTGGAAGGCAGAGAGAAACCAGCTATCTGGCAAAATTGGAATTTGTTTTCAATAGTTTATTGATACTAACTGAGCTCTTTAAGTGAACACAACCTAAACTTGTTCTTTTTCTTTTTTTATGTGTTACAGGAATGGGGCCTCCCAATACTTCTAGGACTGGGCTTGGTTCTGTTTTCATCTTTCCTAGGCTCTGTCAACTTTCCGGAAATGCCTCCTCAGGATCTGGGAAGGGTAGATACATTTAATAGCTCTTCTAAAATAGTTGTGTATACACCAATCTCTAATATAAGCCAGAAGATAATGAATAAAACAGCATTGTCTCCTCTTTGGAAAGGTAGGTATGCCCATGACAAAAAAAGAATAACTGATACACATTTACATCCTTTTGATAAGATGCATACATGTTAATTTGAAGCTACAGTTATGCATTATGCTTATAATTTAAATATTCAGAGCATACAAATTTGGTTTTTTTCCTTCTGTCATAAAAATTTGCCTTTGAAATTCTTTCAGTGTGATGGGGGTGCGATCTAGGGAGGTCTGTATTTCTACTGGAGTGTAACTAAGAAAAGATTTGTGATTTCAAGATTTGCAGAATAGTATTTAGGAGGAATGTAGCTATTGGTAAGTGTGTGTATTTTTAATATGGGAATATAGTGATTAAGATTTATAGTTTAAAGCTGGGCTTGGTGGCTCAGCATGGATTGCCTGAGCCCGTGGGTTAGAGACCTGCCTGGGCAACATGGCGAGACCTCATCTCTACAATAAATCAAAAAATGAGCCGGGCGTGGTAGTGCGTGCCTGTAGTTCCAGCTACTTGGAAGGCTGAGG